AATAGAATGATTAAAAGTGCTTCTGGAGAGAAAAAACATTAGATTTTGAATAATTGAAAACAATCTTTTTAGACAATTTATCTTGCTTTAGAATTAATTAAAAAATCAGAAAAAAAAGTGCTTCTGGAGAGAAAAAACATTAGACTTTGAATAATTGAAAACAATCTTTTTAGACAATTTATCTTGCTTTAGAATTGTTTACTGAATAAACGCTTAGAATAAAAAAAATAATTTGAGAAGTAGGCGGCTAGATGGGATGGGTGTAGAAATGAAAAGATTATCCATATGATGATAATTATTGAAGATGACTAAAAATGGTACATTGGGTTCATGATACTATTTTCTCTACTTCTGTATTTGTTAGAATTTTTTCCATAATAAAAAAATTGAAGAAAAAGAAAGGCTGCTCATGTCAGTCACTGCTTAAAACCTTTCACTGATTTCTTACTGCCTTTAGAATAAAATCCAAACTCTCCCTGATGGCCTGTAAGGTCCTGTGTGATCTGACCTCTGCCTAACTTTCTGACTTTACTCTCTACTCTTCCCTTGATCACCAAGTTTCAGTTACACTGGCCTGCTTCCTGTTCCTAGAACATATCAAGCTTATTTGTTTCTGGTTTTTTTTTTTTTTTCCCTATTATTCCTTCTTCTCCCCCTCCCCACCATTTTTATGTAGACTAGCCCCTTCTCATTTTTCAGATCCCAATTCAAATTCACCTCCCCAGAACAGTCTTCCATAATCACTCTATCTAACCTTGTGTTCCTCAAGACATTTAATTTTCCATTATTTTATACTCTTATTTTTTAATGGTACTCATCACTAGCTGAAATTATATGTATTTATATGTTATGCATCCCCTCCCCACCAGGATGTAAGCCCTATGAAAGCAGGATGCCTATCCTACTAATGGCTTAATCACTCGTGCCTAATACAGTGCCTGGAACATTGCAGTGTTCAAAAACTATTTGTTGAATAAATTAATGAATCATCAATCCCCTGAGACCGGGCATTGAGCTTCCTCTTCCTTATTTCTTAATCCCTTTAGGGAAGGACCCAGGTATGCAATCTTCCCTCCATCCCATCCCCATCCTCCTCACCCAGTGGGGAGAACTCACTTGGCAAAGGGTATGAGGTTGTCTTCATCTTCCTGTACCTGCATGACTGGACTGGGCTGCGTAGCTGGACTGTCTCCTCTTTGGTGCTGGGAGAATAAAGGAAATGAATCATTCACTAAAGTAATGGCTGTAGAAATGAGACCAGTAGCACATCTAGAGACTAGAAAGAGAATGTGTGGATCCTGAAAAAGGAAAGAGACCTTAAAAGTTATGTCTAGTGCTGGACTATTAATTGAACATACAGGTTGAAAATGGTGAGCACAAGAAAGGTAGATGTAGTAAAAGGTAAACAGGAAAGAAAATTTTCTGAAGCTAAATGTATAGAGTAAGTGAAATTTACAGATGGCACTTAAGTGACTTAACTGGCAATATGAGATGATGAAATGGAAAAGGGTGACAGGTGGAGACTACTGGATGGGGCAGAGGCATTTGGGTTGGTGGTTGGGGGAAGTTAAAGAAGTGGCAGAATTGAGGGCTGGTAAATGAATCAGGTATGAGTGGTTAGTGAAAGTTAAGTGCCAAAAGAGTGGTTGGTCAATTGGTGACAAGGAAGAAAGGCGCAGTTGGGAATGTCTATAACATAAGAAGGTGCTGGGCACGGTGGCTTGTGCATGTAGTCTCAGCTAGTTGGGAGGCTGAGGCAGGAGGATCACTTGAGCCCAGGGGTTTGAGGCTGCAGTGAGCTATGATGGTGCCACTGCATTCCAGCCTGGGTGACAGAGACAAGACCCCATCTCTAAAGAGAAAAAAATATTAAAAAATGAAAAGAAAAAATAACAATAACAACAAAAACAAAAGGGGAGCAGGAGGTCAGCTGCACAGAGCCAGGAATTAGGGACAGCCAAGGATGAACTGAGAGCAAGCTGGGCTGGCTAGAAAAGGCAATTAAGAATACTAGATAAGTTAGGAGAGTGCATGTAGGTTGCACAAAGGTTAAAGAAAGCAAATTGGAAACTGTTAGAGGTGAACTAGTATTTACCCAAGGGAAGCTAAGAATGGGCTGAGAAAGCAGTTACATGAGGTGAAAAATGGACAGAGGAGTAATTAGGCCTGAGGTGGCGGATGGGGAGGATTGGGCTGAAAGGGTGGGTGGGGTGTCAGTGGGTGGGCCAGAAGGGGGTCAGCAGAGCTCAGGGGACAGTTGGACACTGAGGGGCATTGAGATCTCAGGTAGTTTGGGCCTAAGTGGGTGACCTAGATCTAAGGGGCAGGATGGAGCTTAAGGAAGCCAGACAAGCTCCTCCACAGCTGACCCAGGGGAAGCCAAGGCCTTGGAGGGCAGCCCACGCTGGAGAGGGTAGATGAGGACCCGCGGGGTCAGGCTGGGGCCGAGGAGCCGCTGGAGCCTGGTGGTGGTGGTGTAGCCCTGCTGGAGGGAAGCCCAGGCCTGAGAGTGCGGCTGCCTGAAGGGGCTAAGGAGACCCTTGGCAGGTGGACTGGGGCATGGCCAGACCTTCGGGGCAGCCAAGCCCGAGGGCATAATTGGGGCCGAGAGTCCCTCTGGCTGTGGGCCCAAGACTGAGGGGACAGTCTGGGGCCGAAGGGGCCGGGCTAGGTCGGGAGGGTTGGCCTGCGCCTGAGGAGGGAATTCCCGCCTGAGGAGGGCTTGCGGGCCTGAGAGGGCACCCGCGCCTGAGGAGGTTGTTTGGGCCTGAGGCAGCGAACGGGGCCGCCGGGACAGTCGAACTTGAGGGCCAGGCGGAGACAGAGCGCCTGAGCGGCTGCGCCACCGTCGACCGAACTTGGCCCAAGCACCTGAGGCAGCTGCCGGGCGAATTCTAGAACTGTGGGCCCGGCGACCAGCAGGAGAGACGCCGCGATTGGAGCCCCGGGAGTAGCCGGCCGGCGCCGCGCGCTTGGGGGCGGAGCCTGAGCGGAGCCGCCTCCTGGGCGGTGCCAGACGGGCGGCTCCGCCCTCTGAGCGCGCCTCCGACGGCGGCGACGTGCGCGAGTCCGGGGCCTGGGTCCCCTGCAGGGTGTGCCCCCCACCTTCCCCAGCTCCTCAGTCCGTTGTTACCCTGTCGCATCGCGGCGTTCTGCTCCCCTTCTGTGTCCTCAACTAGTTCCCGCGTACCCGCTCAGTGGGCCCCGCAGTCCGGGAGCATTGCCCCTTTAATAGGAGTAGCCTGGGTCGCTCCGGCCCTTCTCCGGACGGCGCGCGCCCGCCCGTCCGCGCGCGCGCCCGCCTGTCCCCCGCCCCTCGCTCCCGCCCCAGCTCGCGCTGCCCGGGCGGGCGCCGGCCGCTGGCGCCGCTACTGCTGCCGCCCCCGGGCGCGAGTCCGCCGCCCGCCGCCCGGGGACCCGGCGAGGGGCGGGGGCAGCCCCGAACCGGCCCCGGATCTCCCCCGCTCCCGTCTCACGCTTCCCGGAAAGTTTGCCCGTTTGCGCTCCGCCAAGCTGCTCCGGGAGCCCAGCCGCGACGAGGTGAGAGCTGGGGGAAGGGGGGAGGGTGGGGAGGCCCGCGGAGGAATGTGCCGGGTTGAGGGGCGGGGAGCGGGGTCCCGTTTGCATGCCCTGGCGGGGCAATGTAGGCTCGAGAGCCGGGATCATGTGCTGTTTGTCCCGCCGAGGCGCAGAGAGGTGCCAGGCCCGGGGCGGCCGTCGGTTGGCTGGACAGGAGGACGGGATCCGCATGGCCGCCCAGAGAGGCCGGGCAGGGGCCTGTTTGAGGACTGACGGGAGGGCAAGATGCAGGTGGCCCGAGACCCCCTTTCTGGTCGGTCGGCCCCACCCCAGCCTGTACCCCACTGCTCCTTTGCAGATGTACCGGCCTACCCCTGTAACTCCCCCTATACCCTTACTCCACTGTCCCCCAGCCGTGTCACTTCATTCCCTGTCCCATAAGCCAGGGCGGTGTCACCATGGCGTGTCCCCACCAGTGTCCTTCCCTCCCCTGCTTAGGGTCTGGGGGGTCAGGGCTGTTCTTCCTGAGCCAGCTTCTGTGATTTCAGCTACTCCCTTCCTGTCCCGGGACAGACCATCCCCCTCACTCCTCCCATAATCTGCCCAGAAAGTCTAGTGGGGTGAGGCCCAACATGACAGGAGTTGGGGGTCCTTTGGGGCCACAGCAGGGGGCCCAGCATCCCTTATCCCTCTCCATAGTCCTCCAACCTGCTGTCTGTGGGCGTGGGCTGCTCAGCCTCTCCTCCCAGGGTGTGGGCACCTGATCACCCACATTCCTGGGCTCCAGCCTGGCACCTTCCCCAGGACAGTGGACGCCATGGCACTAGCTCCAGGCTGGGGCTAGGACCAGTCTGTTTCTTTTCCTTTTTCCTCCCTTTTAAGGAGGTCCCCCACTTCCCCCTTTCCTAGAGACAGGTATTCTGGGTCCTCCAACCATTGAGCCCTGGGGGTTGGTATAATGGATACAGGATGACCCCACCCTCCCCTGCCCATTGTCCTGGATCCTGAGGAGGAAGTGCAGGGGGCTGGGCAAGGGGATTGGGCCCACAAAGCAGGTCCTGTGGATCCCTGTCCTGGGCTGCACCTCCAGCCCCTGGACTTTGCCCATTGGCAGTCCCTGCCTCATGTGTGGAGATTGTGGGCCCTAGGTGGGAACTGGTTTTTCCTTCTCCCTTGCTGACGCTGTTGGGGACTTTTAGGGCAGATTTTGTGTTTGGGGTTTTTTCTCTTCTCATCTCTCTTCTGGGCTCCCAATTTTTGCTTTGGCCCCATAGCTCCCCTCCCTGCCTGTTTAACATCCCTGTGTTTGATATCTTCTGTCTCTTCTTCCTTTCTGCCTCCCATTCGTTCCTTCATTGCATGACCTCAATCTTGCCTTTTCTCTCATTTCTCTAATTTTCTTGGTGTCTGTGACTTTCTGCTCCTCTTCTCCTCTTCCCGCCACCCTCAGTGTCTCTGCCCATGTGTCCCTCTCTCTGAATTGTCCTCTGTCCTCCCTCTCTCTCGCTCTCTCTCTCTCCTCTCGTCTATCTGAACGTTCAGTACACTTGTGAGTGACAAGGAATAAAAATATCACTGTCCCTGCCCTTGGATTCACATTGCATTAGGCCACTCCAGAGGGGCAGCTATCCTTACCTTTCCTAACATTTCTCTGCTACCCCTTGCCCTCTTAGGAACCCCAGACAGATCTCTGGAGCCACAGGTGCCTCCTAACCACTCTCCCCCCACAACCAGGGTTTCCCCCACAGCCCCAGCTGGCGTGGCCAGGCCCCAAGTGTAGAATGGGGCTTCCCCTACGAGGGCCGGTGGCAGCCACAACTGATACAGCCCCCCTCATCTGGGGCCAGGACGCCAGGTAACTCTGGGGCGATGGTCCAGGTCCCTGCAAGCTGGGATATGGCTGGGGAGAGAGGCAGGGATACCTTTGGGAGTCCCTCAAGACAGTGATATTTGGGAGGAAGGCCAAGGGAACAAGAACTGGGTCCTTGAGGGAGTGGGTACCTGGGCTGAGGGGTGGAGAGACGATTTCAAGGAGAAGTTGGGAGGCAATGTCTGGGTCCCCCCAGTGGCTCTGACCACCACATCTTTCTCTGTCCTCCAGCTGAGGAGGGTGGGAGTGTCTGGAGTCATGGCTGGTGCTTCGGTGAAAGTGGCAGTGAGGGTTCGGCCCTTCAATTCCCGTGAGACCAGCCAGGATGCCAAGTGTGTGGTCAGCATGCAGGGCAACACCACCTGTGAGTGAGTCCCAAGGGCCTGACTGGCACAGGCCCACCACGCAGGACAGTCCTGCTGGGCCAATCTGGGAGGAGGGCTGTGCTGGGCACAGAGCAGGTGCTAGTTATAAGGGCGGGGGCTGGGGCAGGCTGGCCTCTCTGTGTCCCCAGTCTCTGGGAGGGGGAATGTTGGCCTGGAGCCCTCCATTGCCCAATCCAGGGAGGCAGCTCAGTGGGGGCGGGTCCTAGGAAGCCAAAATTAGCTTTGGTAGCTGGAGGGGGTGGGGAGTATTAAAGGGGAGAGATGAGCTAGGACAGAGGTGGGAAGTGGGATGCCTGGGTTCCAGGGGCTTGTGGGGGTGTGGGCAGAGGCTGGGAGTGTGTCTAACCTTGGCTTTCCTTCCTTTGCCCTCTCTTGCCCCCTCAGCCATCATCAATCCCAAACACAGCAAGGATGCACCCAAAAGCTTCACCTTCGATTATTCCTACTGGTCACACACTTCGGTGAGGTTGTTTCGCTGGGGAAAGAGTTAGGCAATGAGAGACAGGGGACTTAGGTACTGGGGAGGGAGCATTGCTGTGAAATAGGACCTCCAGGGGATTGGTTGGAACTGGACTGGGAGGACCACAGCCCCTGGGTGGGTGTAGGTAGGACTCTTAGGTTGTGATTGGGACCACGATGGGGGCTGGAGAGGATCCTCAAGGATGATTAGGACAGTGATGGGGGTAGGGACACACAGGGCTTTTGGGCAGTCATCAGTGATGGGGCAAGACCCTTGGGACAATGACTCTAAGGACAAAGTCATTCAGGGCTCCTTTTTGTCTGCCCCCCTTTCACCTAGGCCGAGGACCCCCAGTTTGCGTCTCAGCAGCAAGTATATCGGGACATTGGAGAAGAGATGCTGCTCCATGCCTTTGAAGGCTACAACGTGTGCATCTTTGCCTATGGGCAGACCGGGGCTGGGAAATCCTACACCATGATGGGGCGGCAGGAGCCGGGACAGCAGGGCATTGTGCCCCAGGTACGTGCTTGGGACCTGGCCAGGCAGCCAGGACAGGAGCATCTTTAGCTGCCCCTAGTGGAGGAAGGACAGAGGTCTAAGGATTATGGAACAGAGACCTGGCTCTCTGAGGCCGTTAGTGACAGGGAATGTGATGGGAGGTAGGGGTTGACTGCAGCCTGGACAACCAGGGCCCTTTGGGGAGGGGTTCTTTGCCCCTGCTAGAGACAGCAAGGTGCAGTCAGAGAGGCAAGGCCTTGGCATCAGTGAGCCTTGGGTTTGAGCACCGGTTTTACCACTTGCTACTATTTTACTTTGTTTCATAAATCATTTGTGAGCGTAGTTCTCCTACAGGCTTGCGTACCATAGGCCAGGTGTTCGCAGTAGAAGAAGCTGGTTGTAGAAAACTGAGAGTTAACCCTGACTCACCGGCTGTGCGGCACAGTGTCTTTGGGAGTTGTGATACCTGGGTTTTCATCCTGGCTTGCTAAGTATTAGCCTGTGATCCTGGGCAAGTGAGGTTGTTTTCCAGTCTGTAAAATGAGCATGACTCCTCTGTCAGGGCTGTGGGAAGGGTTAAGTGGGGTCACTTGGGACAGGCCTGGGACTAGGCGCTGCAGGTGTGCCCTGAACAGGAACTTCTCTGTGTCCCCCTCCAGCTCTGTGAGGACCTCTTCTCTCGTGTTAGTGAGAACCAGAGTGCTCAGCTATCCTATTCTGTGGAGGTGAGCCCAGGTCTTGGTGGGGAGCTGAGAGGGGGCAGGGAGGCAAGAGAGCAGAGCCATCAAGGCCGAGGGCCGTCTCTGGAGTCTGACGGCCTGGAATCTGACGCCGACATTGCCAGTCCCTAACTGTGACTTTGGGCAGTGATTCCATCTTCCTTAGTATGTTCATCTGTGAAATGCCAATGACCCACCTCCTGGGGTTGCTGGGATTCACTGAGCTAGCATATGCAAAACCCTTAACACTGCGCTGGGTATGTGTTAGCAGCGATTACCTGTATCGTGTCCAGTGGAGTTTAGGTTAAGTTTCCTAGTTGGTGTTATTGCTAGCTTTGTGACTTACTTGCTTTTCCCACTCAGGTGAGCTATATGGAGATCTATTGTGAGCGGGTACGAGACCTCCTGAACCCTAAGAGTCGGGGTTCTCTGCGGGTCCGGGAGCATCCCATCCTGGGCCCCTATGTGCAAGACCTGTCTAAATTGGCTGTGACCTCTTATGCAGACATTGCCGACCTCATGGACTGTGGAAATAAGGCTCGGTGAGGCAGGCTGACAGTGGAGGGGAAGGGAGTGGGGTTAGGAAGTGGGGAGGCGGGATCCAGTGACTGCTCCCTTTGCCTCCCAGGACTGTGGCTGCCACCAATATGAATGAGACCAGCAGCCGTTCCCATGCTGTTTTTACTATTGTCTTCACGCAGCGCTGCCATGACCAGCTCACTGGGCTAGACTCAGAGAAGGTGGGACCCCCTCTACCCCGCCCCCCATCCTCCCATGGTAACGGGGACAGGGATG